TCTCTTTATTTCACTCAAACCTCCCTTAGAGGTGAGTTGTGTGGTATTCATATAATCATGAATTGCATGTCTTTATTCATTGTTTTTATCACATATTGTCACATTCAACTTTATGTTTGCATTCTCAATGCTTATCACAAGTCACATTCTCTTCAAGGAATGGATCATAATCAGCGACGTGCTTTGTTATTTTCATACCAATTTGATGGTAAACATTGCCTTTACATTTTGAATGACTATTTTGAGAACCCTTATTGTTCTTCTTTTATAATCATAGTGATAACTATTATTATTTTGATATTTGGAACGACATACGTTCATTGTTCAACCACTTGTCTTCATTGAAATTTATTATGCACTGCTATCACATTCACTTCAAGAATGGAGCAAATCAAGTGGGACAATTTTCATGCCTTTTCATGAAAAATATATTATTTTTCTTTAGTCATCATTATATCATCAATATGGTACATTGGGACTCAAACCCAATATCTTACCAATATAAATGCATGTTAGGCCATAATAAATTGGGACTCAAACCCAACTCTTATCATTATGGAGCATCAGGACTTGATCCCGATGTCTTACCCTCAATCAATGGCATAATAGGCTAAACAATATTGAGATTCATTCTCAAGCCTTAATTTCAATCACATGCCAAGAAAGTTATACACAACTAATTTGCAACTTAGCAAATCAAATTTGCTTTCTTAAATAAGTGTACAAATCTCAAATCAGCGTAAAGCTTTATTAATTATTTGTAGCATCTATATAAAATACAACCGTTTGTAGTCAGAATATTTCTTCTAAATTCTATTAGAGTTTAAAAGGAACATAAAATCATTATCACAATATTCATTGAGTCTCTCTCAAAACTATTGTTGTTTTCGGGGTATACCCTACCTATTGGATTTGATTTAACGTCATGACTTTCCTTCACTCAATTCAACCAAGCAATTAGTGAATAAATTTATCAAAAGTATACCATATAGGTAACAGCACATATATAATACTAATACATAAATTCAGCATTTATATTACCTGAAAAGTGACATTATAGGTAACAACATACCAGTTGTAGCTTGTGCATCATTCATATAAAATACTTAAAAATGGTAAGTCAATAGCAAGCATCAAGTAGGTCATGGATACTCAAAAATACCTCTTCTAGTAGTCATACTAATCATTGTTTGCTTTCAAATGATACGACCATAAATTATGAAGTATACTTTCTCAATAGCTGGTTTGTTTTCCAAATTTCAAAGAAGTAATTAATCAACCTAGATAAAGATGTGAAGTATTTTTTGTTTTCTTCAAGATGATTTATGCTTTTAATCAGTGTGACCATTTTTTTATTCCTTTTTTTGTACTATATGCAAGTGTAAAAATTCAAAAGGAAAAAAAATATTCATCCAAGTAAAAGAAAATGTAAAAAGCGGCAGGACAGATTGAAGATAGTTAACACACAAATATGCATAAGACAATTTATATAAAATATCATTGGTTACCATGACATGCATCATATCAACAATTATCTGCTACTATGATTTTCACATATAGAACTTCGAAAATTTTATTCCATTCATTTGATATAAAAAATGTAATATTAATATGTGCTTATGCAATACAGGTGTAGTACGAAGTTGTGTGCATATGAGATTTTAGAAGAATGACAAGTATAAGATAATCATAACTTCTTACATTTCATTACTTATCATATGTAGTTTCTCTTTACATTTAACCATGTGATGATATGTATAGCTTATAATTGTAATCTTTTCGGATGTAGTAGATATATATACAATTGGTTAGAGACTCGTGCTGATAACATGTTATGAAATAAAAGCAATTTAGTAAAACATGAACAAGAAATAAAGACAATTTAGTAAAACATGAACAAGAAAGAGATAGAGAGAAAAGAAGAGATTTTCTTCTTCAATTATGTGTATTTTCCTATCTATTACAAGGTCTTTATATATGCATGAAAAGTGAAGAAAATATATCATGAAATATGTCATTGAACATAAAAAATATGTCATTGAATATGTCATTAACCATTTGAGAAAAAGATCATGGAGGAAGAGTAGACATCCACCATATTTTGATTTTTATCATAATAAAGAAATATTTATAAATTACATTACAATAAATATTTATATGCTGGAACTATAAACGACCTACCCGATCATTATTTGAGGGAAAATTCTAGAAACCTCTTTGCAGATTTATTTGTGTTAAACTAACCTCTCTTATGGTTTGAAATACTCTTTACATCCTTAATTTCTTTTCTGCAATTCCATTTCTATCTAATTAAAAAGTTCATTCTCTTGGTCTTTATGAACAAATTCTCAAGAACACAAAAATACTATAGTAAAAGACACTTCACTCACTCAGAAATCTTTATCAAAACCTTTGCAAGTCGATACTAACCAGACATGTCTTAAAAAAAGAACAACGTGTGGCCAATTGTAATATTATTAACTCCCTCTTCTGTCAAGCCAAATTAAGCTACATCTTATTGTTCCGTTGGAAATATCATCCGTGTGACTAGGGGTGTTCATGGTTCGGTTTGGATCGGTTTTTCCCTAAAAAGAAACCAAACCAAGTAAGTCGGTTTTTTAAATATAGAACCAAACCAATTAAGTCGGTTTTTCTCGATTTGGTTTATGTCGGTTTTTCGGTTTTTTCGGTTATTTGTCGGTTTTTTCTTAAATATAAGACATACACTACCAAATACATATTTCGACGATCACATTTACAATGTAACACTATCAAATCAATTGCCCTTTGAAAAAGCTATTATTTACCAAAATATATTGATAATAATTGAATCAAATAGTGATGAATAATTTAAGGACTCAATTAAAAATATGTTATTTTTAACACGAAATGGATTCTTACACTAAACAAAAGAAAACTACCAATCAAACTAGAATGTAAAGGTAAAGAACTATATTAAAAGTGCAAACTATTAACATTTACCATAAATTTTTTGAAACTTTGTATAACAATATACATATATATATATATAGGTGTAATAATAAATTTGAAATAGCTATTCCTATAGTCGGTTTGGTTCGGTTTTTTTCTGATTAAAACCAAAACCAAACCAAATTTGATTGGTTTTTAAAATTCAAAACCAAAACCAAACCAAACCAAAAGGTATCGATTTTTTTGGTCGATTTGATTTGATTTTCGGTTTGGTTCGATTTTTCGGATTTATGAACACCCCTACGTGTGACATGTGCATCATTTGAGCCATTCAATATTCTGCTGGAAGTTTTCCATCAAACAACCTTTCTCTTACTTCCTTAGCCTGTAATGTTAACACAAAGATAATTCAGAATGGTCGTAAATTCTTGACAAAAAAAAAATGGAAAAGGGTCATAAATGCCCTTAACCTAACAAAAATGGCTCAAAAATACTCCTCATTCACCTTTTGGCCCAAAAATGCCACTAACATTTTCTTTAGTATCAAAAGTGCCCCTTGAACTCTTTGATTGTTCAATATTAAACAACTTTAGCTTTTGTCATTAAAGTGAGTGTCAAGATATGTATTTTAACACCAAAAATTGTAGCTTTTCAGTTGCCAAAATACAGGTAATTAACTTTAAAATAGCAATTTTATAAATGTTACTTAAAATATAGTAGAATTTTAGCCGAATAAATGGAACCAATTTTTAGGTAAAGAAAGCATACAACCATGTCAATTAATACTTACACCAGAAGATCCAGTTTTTTTACACAGCAAAAAATGAAATTGTGATAATAAACTTGAAAGGAAGAAAAGAAAAATTTAAGTAAGGAATTGGAAGAGAAAAGAAAGAGTTGAAGAACTCTATTAGAATATGTGGATTGGGTCTAATTATTTTTTTAATGTTGATCAATCAAAGAGTGCCACGTGAATTTGCAAAAGTCCCACATAGTCAACTGTTATTGTCTGTTAGTTCAAGGGGCACTTTTGATACCAAAGAAAACATTAGTGGCATTTTTGAGCCAAAAGGTGGGTGAGGGGCATTTTTGAGCCATTTCTGATAGGTTAAGGGCATTTATGACCTTTTTCCGGAAAAAAAGACTACATCTCCAGAACAATATCAAATAATTTGTTTAATCACTAATACCTTTTTTAGCCGAGGGTCTATCGGAAACAGTCTCCAAGCCCTTCCAGGGTAGAGGTAAGGCTGCGTACATCCTACCCTCCCCAGACCCCACTCGTTGGATTATATTGGGTGGTTGTTGTTGTTGTTGGTGGTGGATAAACATAGATGATAGACAGAACAAACCAAACAAATACTAACATATTTTTATGTTTTTATTTTTTGACAATTTTCATATGCGAATTTTGTGTCGGATCCTCCAAATTTAGTGTATTTTTGGAGGATCTGACACGGGTACGACAACACTTTTGGAGAGTCAGAGCAACATACATCGCCAATGAAACAAATATGTAATAGCTACCTGTTTTTCCCAATCTGTGAAAGCAGTGATAAATGAAAGCAGAATTGTTTGCACTGTGGATCCTATGAGTAATCCACTCCAAAGGCCTTTCTCTTTCCAATTCAAAGAGAATCCCATCAATAAAGAAGCAGAAATTCCAACCAAGTAATATGATCCTAAATTAACATAGGCTCCTATATGTTGCCATCCACTTCCTGTTGCTACTCCTGATGCAGGGAATCTAAAGCATATTAAAACAAAACAAAAAAAAAACCTTAATTACTACTACAGTTAGAAATTAAGTTTGATGAAAATAATAACCTGATAATACTATTTGTATGCTATCCAGGACGATGGAAAGGCAGAGAAGAGGAGTCAGTGCTGTGATAAGAGTGATGACTTCTTTTTCATTTGTGAAAGCATATCCCCATACACTACGGCAGCTAAAAAGAATTGCACTTGCTATCAGGAATTCTGAAGTAGCTAGAGTGAAGACTGCAAATATCGAAACTCTAGCTGCTTTTGGATTTCCAGCTCCTAATTCGTTTGAAATCCGAGTGCTACAAAATGGTCATGAGTTAATTTAAGAATGCCATGTTGTACCATACTAATCGTTACACCAAAAAAGTCGTTGTTTGGAAGTATGTTGAAGAGAAAACCTTGCAGCAGCACCAAAAGAAAAGGGAAAATGGAAATGTATTTGAGAGGTTGTAAGGCTGCACCAAAAAAAATATAAACAATATAAGTTATGAGCTTCTGAATTTTCTAGTTATATGAAAGAGTGAATTGTTACATGATTTGCGTACCAAATAGATAGGACAGAAGTCTCTAGCTGTGGATTTGGCAGCAAACCACAGAGCAATATAATAAGCTCAACTGCCCACCATCTCAAACTACAAAGAAGAGGTAAAAGTACTTAATAAATCAGACCTTAGATGTGATATCAAAAACAGCAGAAAGAGAAGATAAAAGTTATTAACAGTTAAATTACCAAACCATTCCAGCAGATGGAATAGCAAATTGGAAGAATTCTGGCAAAAGAAGGAAAACATCCTTTGAGAAATAGGGACGTGTCTTTTGACATGCTGTCGAATACTTTAAGTAAATCACGTTCAACCAATATGATGAACCAATCGCCATAGCAGCTCCATTGCCCCCTAACTCAAATTTGAATATTAAAGCCCAACTGAGAGGTATGTTAAAGCACAGAGACGCTACTGAGGTCCATACCATTGGAATGAACAAACTCTGAGTCTAGAAGTAACAAACAAGTGACTGAAGAATTGCATAGGGAAAGAGAGTTAAGATGAGACAAATCGAGTATTTTCCAGCTTCTATAGAGATTGAAGGGTCTTGTCCAAATCCATAAAAGCAATTTGCCAGTGAAGATCCATAGAAGAGACACTGGCACGCACGCGAATAAAAGAAATATAATGGCAGCACAAGTAATAGTGCCAACTTTCTTATACTGTCGTGCTCCATAGGCCTGCCCACGTAAAGTTTCCAATCCAGCTGCCATTCCATACTGCACGCAAGATTCAGATTCAAGTCAATCTCTGAGATTGTCAGAGCTGTAGGAATCTCTTAATGGTATGAGGCTTCTGGGAAAAACCGTGCAAGTTTGATCCAAAACAGACAATATCACACCATGTTAAGTGTTGAATGGCAGAAATCCCACGTCGGTGAAGTTCCAATTTTGGTTGGTACTTCACCCTATAAAAGGAGGCCTAATGTTTAGGATTTAAACACACCTCTCATTTGCCTTTTTATTTTCTTAAGGCATTTGTATCTTCTATTTTTAGTATTATTTCACTTGTATTTTTGGAGTGGAATAAAATATTGGTTGTGTCCGAGTAGTAGGCAAAATTGGCTGAACCTCGTAAATTCTGATATTTCTTTTACTATTGCTTTATTGTCTTATTTAATATTTGGTGGTTGTCATAATTTTTGGTATAGTAGTTGTGACTTATTCACACTATATACATTTGGCTTCCGCAAAAATTGGTATCAGAGCCAAGGTACTGTCTAAGTATGCTCTGTGGTTGCAGCATAGTCTGATCTTCCATATCAGAAAAGATTTATCTTGGTAACTGAGTCAAGGTTATGTTTGAGTATGCTCTGTGGTTGCGGCTTAGTTTGATCTTCCACACCAGAAAGGAAATAATCTTGATTTTTGTCGTCAGCTATTAAATAATATTTGTGTCAAAGATGGGAGACAATAAACAAGAAGAATCTACATCAAGTGTCAACAGTACGTCATCATTGACATCTTCGCTTATGACAAGAATTGTGTCAAATACGAAATTTGCGGTAGAAATTTTTGACGGGTCAGGACATTTTGGGATGTGGCAAGGCGAGGTTCTAGATGTCCTTTTTCAACAAGGGCTAGATCTTGCTATTGAAGAAAAGATACCAAATGTTATTGGAGAAGAAGATTGGAAAATTATCAACCGTGTTGCTTGCGGTACCATTCGATCCAACCTTGCTATAGAGCAGAAATATCCATACACAAAGAAAACTTCTGGAAGTAAATTATGGAAAGCACTGGAGGATAAATTTTTGAAGAAAAACAGTCAAAATAAATTGTACATGAAGAAGAGACTGTTTTGCTTCACCTATGTTCCTGGTACCACAATGAACGAACATATCACCAGTTTTAATAAGTTGGTCACAGATTTGAAAAATATGGATGTAACTTTTGATGATGGTGACTTGTCCTTGATGTTATTGGGGTCACTTTCTGATGAGTACGAGCACCTTGAAACTACTCTACTCCATGGGAATGATGAA